CGGCAAACCAGTTGATGTAGTGAGGCAGAGGAAAAGGAAAATATCATATAAAGAAGAAAATTAATTATGACTTAGCTTTCTAGTCTTTCCCTTGGTGACGACCGAGGTGGCCGATGTGGGAACAAAGTCATCCATTAATAGCAATGAAAACACCAGCCATAGAAGCAGCTTGAGGCAACTGACGATGAAAGTGAAGATGCCCATCAACGGCGGCATAATAGGCCAGCAGTGCAGACGGAAACACCAGTCGGCGGCGGCGAAGGCCAGCCAGTCGGTGAAGACGTGGACGCCCGTGAACGGTGGTGTGACCAACCAACCATATAGGCGAGGACACTAGTCGGCGGCGGCGAAGGCCAGCCGGCGGTGAAGTCGTAGACGCCCAACAGCGGCGGCATAATAGGCCAGCAGTGCAGGCGGAAACACCAGTCGGCGGCGGCGAAGGCCAGCTGGTCGGTGAAGACGTGGACGCCCGTGAACGATGGTGTGACCAACCAACCGTATAGACGAGAACACTAGTCGGCGGCGGCGAAGGCCAGCCGGTCGGTGAAGTCGTAGACACCCAACAGTGGCGGCATAATAGGCCAGCCGTGCAGGCGAGGGCACCAGTCGGCAGCGGACGAGGCGGCCGGTCGGTGAAGATGTTAGTTGGCAACAGCAAAGGTAGCCGACACGGGTACATACAAAATAAATCAATGAACAGATCATCTGCTTAGTACCACGTAAAAAAATATAGGTATAAAGAAGCTTGTGCATGTATGTTTGCATATATCAATGCATATACACGGCTTGCATATATTGATTAATTAGCCAACTAATCTCCTGTGGCATGAACGCTAGACACATCCACACATCACCCGACAGGTCCTGCCATGCGCTCGCACAGATCGCAGGTCCGAGTCCAGATCAAATCCCCGTCAGAAGCTTCTTGAGATGGGGATCGGACACGTTCGACTAGTGGTGCATGCAAAATAATAAACCACAGATCAAATAGAGATTAGTAGCAAAAAGAAATAAAAAAGTATAGATGATTATGGATGTTAATCGATGCATGTATGTTTGCATGTAGATCGATGTGTAGAAGAAGTCGGTGTGTCAGCCAGCTTGCCAGGAAAAGCATTGATTAGCTATTAAAAGAAAACAGATGCTTTACGATCTCTATGCATAGCGTTATTAGGTAAATTGTGCATCTTCTCCATAGCTTGCATGCATGCTCCTGTTTGCACACGCTGGCTGTGCATGCATGCCGCCATGAACGTTCCAGTGGACATGTGCTTGTTTGATTCGTAAATCAACAAATGCACGAATTTGCTTCTGGTCGTCGGGTGTTCCTATGCCGAACCTGCGGCATCTCCATCTGCAAGGAAAGGAGCACTCGGACACGGCTAGGCGCCAAAGTAGGCGACGGCGATGGCTGTGTCTCAATTTTAGCCAGAACGTGAAAATAATAAAAATAACAGTAGATTAAAAAATCAATCTCATAAAAATAAGATTGGAACGACAAACCCGATTGAAGATTAGAGCCACTAAAATCAATAAGATTGATCTCAGCGTTTCTTCTGAAGTTGATTCCATCGCACTTTTCGACGGGTAATTCGACGCAACCCCTACCTGGCGCGCCAACTGTCGAAACATGAATTCGGCAATAATAAAAGGGGTAGCGCACGAGACCTAAAAGTGGATGGATGCAGAGACAAAGGATTTAGACAGGTTCAGGCCCTCTCAATGAGAGGTAATACCCTACTCCTGTTTGGGGATTTGAATCCACCGGGTGTATTATAGATCTGACAATCATATGTGCTCCTGCCCCCTAGAGGGCCTCCTGCCCACCTTATATAGGATGGGGGCAGGATTACAAGATAGAAACCTTAACCAATACGGTATCGGTTTCCTAAATCTATTTTACAATATTATCAAATCAGGACTTTAGGCCGCTCCATAATATAAAAGGAAACGTAATACCCAAGTCATGATTTGTTACATATTCCATAGATATAAGCTATCCCCTATGACTAGTCGGATAACCATGCCGTGTGGGTATGGGGTACCCATAATCTCCACACCAAGATGTTCCATTCTATTTTGGGTGATCGCACATTTTGTTCCTACTCTGACAGTGACGATGGCACAATTGAAGACTCTGACCCAATTCATGGGAGTTTCGCTATCTTCACTGGCCTTCACATGGTTCGCCCTCGTGGTAAACATGATGATGTCCAGATGATCAAGCACAAGTCCATGTACTACCAATTTTTCGATGATTACATCGAATGGGTTATCTGAAGCTCATGATTATTTTGCTATAAGCACAGCTAGCATATGTGCCCTAAATTCACTTTGGTATTTGAAGCAACGCAGCTTTAATCTCATATACATATGTCCATGTTTCTAGCTACCTAGTGGTCTATATATCAGAGACTCTACTTAATTGGATTGGAGTAGTAATTAGTAGGATTGTAAGAGACTCTTCTAAATTAGTAGTGGTTTCTAAGCAATTAATATTTCTAAATTAATAGTACCTAATAAGTGCCACATCACTGCCACATGCGACGAAGACCTAGTCAAAAGAGGCACGTAGGTTCCACGTTAGTCAAAATCGGGGCCAATACCGCCAGAGGGCATCGTTTGCACTGGTTTTGTAAGTTTAAGTTTGGAGATACATTGTATCCGTTTTACGGTTCAAGAATGATTTTGTAATTTGGTGATAAGAGGAGGGACCTCTGGTGTGCTTTTTCCTTAAAAAAATGGAGCACCGTACCACTCGAGTAAAAAGTTTGTGGGTCCATGGGCCAAAGACAGCTGAGCAATCCCTAAAAGCGACGATTTTCTTTTATATTCACTACTACAAAACGATTTTCCTGTACATGCCCCTCTTTAGATTGCAAACGAACCGTAACTGGCCGCGTCTGCAAAAATCGTACTCTATTTTCGTGGCGGGTCCTTAAGAGGACCGCACGGAAAAATCTAATTCTGCAAACAACACTTAAGTGGACAGCAAGCAAAAATGAACCTATTTTCGCAGGCGGACCTCTTAAGTGGACCGTACGCAAAAATACAGTTTTTTTATCCCATCCCCTCTCTCTCTTTTCCCTCTCACTCACTTCAATTTTTTCACCTTCTCTCTCTCTTTCTCCCTGCCTTTCCTCTCCTCTCCTCTCCTCTCCTCCAATCCAAGCGCGTGGGGCGCGGGAAGCGGCTAGCTCTCCGCCGACGACGAGGCAGCGGCCGAGAACAGGCGGGAGGCCGTGCGGCGGTTGGTGATCGGCGGCCGAGCACTCGACGGCTGGATCCATGCTGCCGCCGCTGACGACAACGATTAGGCGGCTGGGAACGATGGGCTCAGGAGCGGCTTGGTGGATGGCGGAGGCCGTCCCCCGCCCAGATTTGACGGCGGTGGCGGCGAGCAGGCGGGCTCGGACGGTAGGGAGGCGTGGCGGCGGCAGATCCGGCAACGGCGACGGTGATGACAGCGACCAGGAGGAGGGCGGCGACGACGGCTTCTAGGGTTAGGGTTTCGGATTTTTTTCTTTTTTTTTTTTTTTTGCATGTGGGCAACATAAGCACCCACTCGCGAAAATCAGATTTTCGTGTGCAGGTGCGCCACCCGCACACAAAAATAGCGATTCTTCTAGACCCTATGGCGCGTGCGGTTAGCCCTTCCTCACACGAAAACCCCTTTCGGACCGCACGGAAAAAAATCCTTTTTTAGTAGTGATTTATTTTTTAAAAGATTTACAAAACTAAATTACCAGTTCGAAGTTATGCAGAAATGTACTCCTTATGTCCTACCGTAGGACAAGACATATAAAACGAGACATATAAATCATCCTATGCTTGGACGAGAAATGTGACTTGGCAAACGACCGGATAGGCGTGCTGTTTAAATTTTGCGAGCAAGGTGCTGCCTCTGAAAAGGCATGACGAAATCGCTCTTTGTTAGGGCAATCTACTGTTGCAATGGCTTATCTAGAAAAAAAAATAAGTTGGGTGGCAACGGACATATTTTACAAGTGCCCCCTCCCGGTAATAAATCGCTCTGCAGGAGGATGAGTCTCACATTTCCTATTCTACGGTAGGACGATTTATATGGCTCAACGCACCATAGAGAGGAGGAGTATATTCATGCAAAATTTCAAAACGGTAATTTAATTTTTATTTTACTAAAAAAATAATATAAGAAAAAATCGCGACTAGCAGGACCCAGACGGCCCTAATCCGTGCCATCGCGCTGAGGCTGAGCCTCGGCAGCCGCCGCCATCCTTCCTGACTTGTCCAACCCTCCTCCTTCCTTCCTGTAGATTGCACGCTGCCCCTGTAGATCAGCAGCTTCCATCTGATCTGCATCCCGGCCGACTGTCACAGATTGCAAGGAATTGAAAGGAAATCCACATCCTTTGCTGCTGCTGCTGCAGGTATGGGTTTATTTTGCTCCATCCATTGTTGTTTCGTTCTATTGGTTGGTCTGGTTGCTCGTCGTGTTTTGTTCAGGGTTCTAAATCTCCCGCTAAACTGCCGCTATCTCCCGCTATAGCTCTTTCAGAAGAGTTTCAGCTATTTGCTCTCATGTACAATTTAACCGCTATAGATCCATTTAGCCCGCTATAGCTGTTTGAGAAACTAACCGCTAAATACCTTAGCCTGCTATTTAAAACATTGGTTTTGTTTCTTTTATTCCTTTACGGAATTACTAAAATTGTGTCTCCACAATTCTTGGCTGATTATAGTCAGATTTATCAACATCATATCGATTCTCAGATTCGTTCTATTGCACGCATGCAAGCCCGTTTTGAAGGCCGAGTTACCAACTGCTCTTAGCTGGCATTTTTCTTCGGTCAATGTAGTGTATGATAAAGATAAGGTTAAAAGGTAGTCACATCAAATTTGAACTACAATTACATGTCACTTACATTACAGTTACACCGTATTAAAAAATGTAGGTTTAGTTCTATGTGCATGTAAATTTATATTTTTATCTATTTTTGCACAGACCTTGCCTGCTAGCTTTGGTTTTTAGCTATGCAGCTAGTAGTTATGCTATAAGTTCAGTACTGTCAAATTGTTTCATCAGTAATGAGCTTTTGTTTTGTGTGTTACAATTGTTTTGTCCTGGCCGTTGATCTGTAATGGTGAAAAACTGACTGTTTTTAGGCTGAAATTGTGGCAACAGTTATATAGGCACTCCCACCCAACAATAGAAATATAGAATCATCCCATCAGATAAGAAGATCAGTTTTGGTTCGGAAAAAGATATGGGGAGGCGATTTCTGAACCTTGTGGTGGAGAACGCCCGCAGTGGACTGTATTCTCTGCGCCGCATACCTGCAAATCATCTCTTCTACCCATCAACAAGAGCAGCTGAAGAGGCCACGGCAAAGTCCCAAGAATCATTCAACGCGTACGTTAAGGAGCACCATGGCAGGAAACACCCAGGCCTCCACACCTTGGAGATGTTGGGGAAGCTTCCCTCTCCCATGCTCAACTTCGAACCAACCCCCTGGGATGGCCAGCGTCGATATAGGAATCTCGAGTTCGCATCTCTCCTCGGCAATGAGAACAGGATCCTCTTTGCCGACCACAGTGGACATACCATCGTCTTTGACGCCGACTCCTCCACCGTCTTTGCCTTTCCCAACCTCATTTCTGACAAGGGTTGTGCAGCCATTTCCCTCTCCATCAAAAACAACAACACCAATAAGAACATTAGTGGCGGCATGTGGGATGAAGACAGCCTCTACGTGATGTCCCAGAGTGCTGACCCTGAAACCAAGGATTACTGCTTTGAAGTGCTCAACTACACTTCTTCCTGTAAGGATTTTCGTGGGAGGACTCCCTATTGGAGTTCTCTACAGCCGCCGCCCTTCGCCAACTACATGCATGCCGACATTACTTCCTACACTGTGGTTGACAGCTCCACTATATATGTTTCTTCTATGGAGCCAGATGCTACTTATGCCTTTGACACAGTGGGGCATCAGTGGCGTCGCCTGGGCTGCTGGACAATGCCATTCGATGGCAAAGCTGAGTATGTGCCGGAGCTCAAGCTGTGGTTCGGACTATCCGTCAACCACCCCTACAGCTTATGCGCTTGTGATCTCCTCTCCGATGCAGCAAAGCCACCCACGGTGCAGCAGCAGCACACTTGGGTGGACCTCGACATACCTGAATCCTGGTTGCCCTATAACATTGACCTCATCAACCTGGGCAGTGGCAGGTTTTGCGTCGTCAAGATTTTCCGTCATATGGCAGATGACTGCACTGGTTTCTCCGATTACGATGACGATGACGCAATGGACTCTGACCTGATTCAAGGGAAATTCGCTGTCTTAACTGGCCTACAGATAGTTCGCCCTTGTGGTAAAGATGGTGATGATCAAGGTGGTGTCCGGATGATCAAGCACAAGTCCATGTACTACAACTTTTGGGACTATGAAATCGAATGGGTTATCTGAAGCTGAGGGTTTTACTATAAAAAAAATGGGACCAATCTAGAAAGGACTAGATTGATTTTGAATTAAGGAGGGGGTGAGGCTCGAACCCGGACCGGCTAGCTCGCAGCTTGCGTTGCTAGCCGGGAAGACCCCAGGCCTTTCTCATGAGGGTTTTACTATCAAGCAGCTATCTAGAATATGTGCCCTAATTTCATTTTGATATTTGAAGCAATTAATTCTAGCTTTAATCTGATAAGCTTTATATCATGCACGTTTCTAGCTAGCTAGTGGACTGCTGTAAAAGACCCTAGTTAATTAGTAATTAATAGGATTGGATTTCTAAATTAGTAGTGGTATCTAGGTATAATATTTCTAATTAGTACCTGATATGTGTGTACCCATTCTAACGCAAATCGAATTGGTTCTGAAACTAATATCATTTTGCTATATATGAAGCAGAATGGGTTCGCCTAAACTGATTTCATTTTCATATGAAACAATATGCTTCATTTGATATGCAATTTATCATCCATATTTCCGGTGGACTGTAAGGGACTAGTGAGTAGGATTGAAAATTTGGAACTCTAAATTAGTGCATGATCTGTAAGAGTCTACTTTGCTAATTGTATGAAGCAGTATCACTCTTGCTGGTTGTATCTTCAAGAGAGCTATCTTGTCAGAAATGGAAAGGCAGAGAAAACAGTGGAGACTGAAGATTTTTCCTTGTCAGCTGAACTAAATTTGGCCAAGTGTTCTATCTGAAACTAATATTATCGTTATGATTTCTATGAATCAGCCAATATGGCCTAATCTTATTCATTTTGATACTCTGAAAACTGAAGCAATGCTTTTATCTGATATGCAATTTTGCGTCCACATTTCTAGTGGACTATAAGAGACTAATGATCAAGTAAATTAGTGGTGGTATACTTAACAGTTAAGTAGGATTGGAATTCTAAACTAGCTAGTGGCATGAAATATTCTAGTGTCTTTTGGCCATAACTGAATGACATTACTGGGCTGGCGTGTCATTGTGCTAGCTAGTTAGTGGTACAGCAATATGTATCTTACTGTCATCTCCTGATTTTCACTACCTCTCTGCAACCAGAAGCTTCATCCGTATATGTTGTTGAGCAAATACTAGTTCTGAATTCCTTGCAACAGTACAAAGTCATGTGTTGTCTCCGCTTAATAAGCATGATTATTTGGAGGAAAGCAAACTTATTCATGGAGAAGGGATAATTAGTTGATGGAGTGCTTGATAGATATGATATAAATTTGTTGCCTCTTGCAATGCCTGCACAGTTCCCCTTCCTGGAACATGTGAAGATGAAGTAAAACCAACCTAAAGGGTGAAAGCCAATGTAAGAAATGTCCCATGTGACAGGGTAGAAAAATAAAATTAAAACATTTGAGAATATATAAATAGAGATTTTTTATTGTCCTTGAGGAGAGGAGGTACCATATCCTGGCCGTTCGTTACATTCCATCTAACGGCTGGGAAAGTTTCGGTACCTCGTGGTACCGCATCACCGTGAGAGCAGGTACCGAATGGCTTTTGATGATGGGAGGGCACGATTGTACTTTCGCATGTACTAGTGCAGGTAGCGAATCCCCATCGGTCTGGGCAACGAGTTCAGTGCGGCAGATGCAACAGCCTCCCGAGCAGGGGGAAATCGCAACGGCGACCCTAGGGGAGGTAGGCAAATGCAGGGACGCCGGCTCAACTACTACTCGACCTCCTCCTCCCTTCTTTCTGTGCTAGTACAGTAGAGGCAGTGATCGTCGGAGTGGACGACGACAGCGGAGACCTATTGGATGTCGGCGGCGGCGGACTGTAGTCAGTGCCGTGCTCCTCCCAACTCCCCTCAGCGCCTCCACTCAAGTCGGGTCGTCGGGAGATGTTGAAAAAGATTAACCCGTCCATTGATTAGTTCAATCGGATTTTTCCTTTTCCGATATAGGTGTATATGTTTGTTTGCACAGCAGTATCGCAGAGGGCAAGATCTGGTTTGGGAGGTATTCACGTGTTCTCCCTCGAATCCCTACCCATTCAATTTTTCTTTTGTCTTTTCTCCTCTTTCTCTCGTGCTCATGAGAAGACAGAGCTCGCAGTCCATGGCGACTGCCTCGATGCGCCACGGCGGCGCGACGGCCTCGATGGGCGGTGGCAGCGGCAGCGGCGACAGCGGCCTCGATGCGCGATAGCGGCGACGGCCTCGATGCGCGACGGCCTCGATGGGCGATGGCGGCGCGGCGTAGACGGCCGGCAACCTGATACGGTAGATGAGAGAGAGGAGACCTCATTTTTGTTAGCCCGATTATACCCCTCTTAAACCAACGGTTAGATTAGATTGGTACCTCGTACCTCATAGTACCTCGTGGTACCTCTTCAAGTATGGGAAAGATGCTAATATAAATAACTTGTTTGTTTTCAGACAATGTAAATATGATATCTGATATAACCCTTTAAAAGGGCCAAGTGGTTCGGTTGTCTTCTGGAGTAGTTTATCTTCTAGCTTGCCACCTTAGCTAATTTCCACTTTATATTTGGGCTGTTATCTTTTGGTTTAGGGGTGATAGATTTAAAATGTTCTATCTGTTATCTCCTTGTAAGGTGGTGTCCTCTACAGTTACCTAGTGGTACCAAAAAAAATCCTTACTATGTTTCTTTCAATAAAAGCATCAAAACTCCTCTCCTTTTTTTCAGGAAAAAAAAAGGGGAAAGGGGGGGCAAATCAGTTGAGAAGGGCACATTTTATCAGCATCAGAGTTTGTACAGTTATCACCATATATATAGAGTAGATGATAGGGGAGCAATCCAATCAGAAAATAATCAACATTCTTGCTGGTTGTCAGCTACCGTGCAAGAACCAAGAAGAAGGCCCTGTATTCTCTGTTTCGCCTTCATCTAATCCATCTGATTCCACCGCCGCTTCTGCTAATAACTTGTTCTCTTTGATTCGATTGATCAGAGCGACAGATCGATGGGTCGACGGCGATATCTGAATCTGTTGGTGCACAACAACCACCACGACCTGTATTCTCTGCACCGCATACCCGGTACCCGCCAATCGTCTCTTCTACCCATCAACAACAGCAGCCGAAGTAGCAGCCATGGCCAAGACACAAGATGCAACCAAGTCCTACATCGATCACGATGGCAAGAGGCCGCATCCAGGGGCGCTGCACTTCATGGACAGGTTCCGCAATTTCCCATGTCCATTGCTCAACCTCCAGCCCACCCCAATGCATCACCGAAACGAAAGATCTCTCGACTGCGTCACCCTCCTCGGCGACGATGAGACCAAGATCCTCACTGCCGACAACTACGGACACACCGTGCTCTTCGACGCCGCCTCCTACTCCGTCGTCCACTTCCCCAAGCTCAATTGTTCCAAGGGGTATGACGCCATGGCCGTCTCCATCAACCGTGCTGCACCCCAAGAACCGGACTGCCTCTACGTCCTCAACCTCAGAACCCACCCCACTACCAGCAACCATTGCTTCGAGGTGCTCAGCTATGGGGGTTTTTGTGAAAGGATCCCCATATGGCGTTTTCTACCGCCGCCGCCCTTCACAACGACCACCCAAACTACAATTACCTCCTACACGGTGGTCGGCGGCGACACTATCTACGTTTCTTCCAAGCTCTGTGGCACTCACGCCTTTGACACGGTGAGCCGTCAATGGCGGCCTATAAGCAGCCTCTGGTCAATGCCATTCTTAGGCAAAGCTGAGTATGTGCCAGAGCTCAAGCTCTGGTTCGGACTATCATGCCACCACCCCCATAGCTTGTGCGCTTGTGATCTCACCAACATTGCACAGGGTCAGTTACACACTTGATTGGATCTCGACATACCTGAATCCTGGTCGCCGATTCAGCTCGACCTCATCAGCCTCGGCTCTGGCAGATTTTGTGTCGCCAAGATGTTCTCTTCTATGATGCAAGATGACGAAATTGACATGGAGTTTGCTGTCCTCACTGGCCTGCAGATGTTGCCTCCCCGTGGTACCAAAGATGATCAACAAGTGCCCTGGATGGTCAAGCACAAGTCCATATACTACCCATTTGGCTACTATAACATAAAACGGGTTTTCTGAAACTAGTGATCATAGTATCATTTTGGTTTCTATGAAGCAATGCTTTTATCTGCTACTATGCATTTTGTCGTCCACATTTCTACTGGACTGTAATTAGGAGGGTACAACTGTGCCTTCTGCTTGCATTGCAGACACTGATTTGCAACCCCCTCCCTACTCTTCCGGCAGGCGGCAGCATATATATACATGTGTTTTGAAGCATGTATGTATATGCTCCAGCCTCCAGCAATACCAGTATCTTACCAGGATGAGTACAGCTAAGCTCTTTTCTTTTGCACATCACAGCCATATATCTTACCTGAAGAACTTACCATAAGATGTGAGATCAACCATGAAATGGTTGCCCCTTGCTTTAAAAGCGCCATCACAAATACCAGGCACCTAACAGGACATTTCAGAAACACACTTCCTGGACCAGATACTTCAAACAATACATAGAAAGGAAGAAAGCTAATGTTGAAGTATCATTTCAACAAAACAAAACAAGCATCATTTCAACAGGAAAATAAAGAATAGTCCAACCATTGTATTCAGAAACTTCAGTCCAAATCTCATGTATTAATAAGTCTATACTCCCAGCATTGCCCCCAATTCTCCACTCATTGTTTTAGGTTACACGAAAAGGCTCAAACGTGAACTATTTTGTACATTTACTTCAAGATGTAATCCTCATGTTACAGTTGCCATCGTACTACACTTCAACAACAGAATCTAACCACAATAGGGGTTACATCTGTTCCCAAATCAACTAAGTATGATATAAATATCAGAACTCCATCACTGGACCTTCTCAGATTCGCATTTTGTCGGTGGTGAAACAAGAGTGCGCCAAAGGTATTTCCCACTTGCCATGTCCACCATCGTCCAGAATCCTGTTTTCAAAGCCGACCCAACCTACAGTTTCATGCAAAATTATACTTCAATTGAGAGAAAGTTATGTGGCAAGCAACGAAATAAAATCCAATATTATGCTGTAGCTTGGTTAGGAAGCATGAAGATATGATGCCAGCACCCATTTTTACTACATACTACAAAAGATTCAACACTGGAACAAAAACTGAGGCTCAAGACCAAATATGGCCCATAATAATCCAGCTTCCACGATATAGGACGATTCGCTTGCTATCTGACCCGAACCACGCGAAATGGTCGCCAATTACACGGCTCACAAACTCTGTCTGGGGTGGGGCTACCTATTATTCGTAGGTGGTACGTACGGCGTTCTGATGCGCTCCACCCTGAAGAAAAAATCTTCTTCCGCTACAAGTTTTTTTTTTTAGAAAAAAAGAGAGGGTTATAAGTTTGTGGGCCTGGAAATATAAATTTCAGGCATCGTCAACAGGACAACAACCCAATCTTTTCCCTAGTACTTCTTTCAACAATCCAGCATCTCCAGTGTATAAACTATTATGCTTACATAATCCATAAGGACAGGTTCACAATGTAAAACCATGATACCATGGTTTAACACAATGTAAGAAGCACTGCCAACTAGCCAACTACATTTCGCTGTTTAAGTAAGATTTGTTATCAAGCATACTGCAACTATAGAAATACTTCAAATTAGCTCATGTTTTAGTATGATTCCTGATAATTTGCATGCAGTTTTTTTTTCTTTGGAATAAGAACAGGCAATATCTTTGCTTATCGCATTATAACAGTGGTTGCAGTATATAAGTTTGGAATGACGGGTGTTAGTTCCTTTTCAACCTCCAAGCTCTAGACAATCAGCAGGAATCAACAATATTGTACTGAAACATTTTGTTCTAATTGTTATAAGCCTGAAAAAAATGACCGAAAATGAAGCCATGAATCTAAAAATTAGCATGAAAGCCATTGGATTTTTTTTGTTGTTGCTGTTCATGAGTCAATTATGTGTAGTGAAGTGAAGTACAGCTGTGTAAAAAGAAAAACAAGAGAACATGTTGTGTGCACTAAAAAGAAACATGGTTGTGATTTATCTGAAAATTAGGCATGCCAGAAACATTTCCAAAGCACTTAATTTTCCTTTTTCTTTCAGCCGTAAGAAGAAAGCATTCCTAGAATCGCTAGCTTTCATATCCAGCAACAGCAAACTAGAAGTCAAAGACAAGACAATGTTGTTATTTGCCATATGAGGGGGGTAAATGGGGCTCGTAGCAGGAATTAAGCAGTAGGATTAAAGCGTTAGTCCTCTAGCAAGGGGATATCATGAAACGTGTGCGTCAGGTAACCTAACCCAAGAATAGCGTGGAGCGAGCAAGGAAAGATTGTTTGTTTTTTTCCTTTATTACCTTGGAATGGAGGGGCACGGGGGCCCTTTCCCTGGGGGATTCGGAGGCGTCGGCATCGGCATCGTCGTGGAGGAGGTCGGGATCGGCGTTGAGGCCCCGGATGAGGAAGAATCCGGCGATAGTAGCGGAGAGGAAGATGAGGATCACCCTCAGCGGGCACATTCTTCCTCAAATGCCGTGCAAAAATCAAATCAATGAATGAACCAAGGGAGGAAGGAAGGAAGGAAGGAAGGAGTGGATTTGGGGAAGGGAGGATGGAGCAGTTGGGCCTCCCTTCCTTCTCTTCTCTTCTTGACTAGCACGCCCCCCACCTAACGCTGCGTTACCACCCTCTCCTCTCCTCTTCTCTTTCTTGGAAATATTAAACTAGTAACAAATCTTCTCAAGGGAAGGTGAGAAGATGAAGAACAAGGATACAAGCACGAGATCAAGCTCGATGATGGCGCGGCGCCGTGCGCTGCAGCAAGAGGTAGGAGGCGAGAGGAGAGGAGGAAGAAGAAGGTGAATTCTCAAATCGCAACGACGAGGAAGAGGAAAATGGAGATGGGATTTGGCAAAGAAACAAAAAAGGAGAAGAAATTTATTTATGGGATTTACGCGGCCGAGGGGAGAGGGTGAGATGAGATGTCGTCAAAAGGGACGCGGTCCGCCTCTCTGGGCCCGCATGTCATTCTCTGTCTTTGTAACAGCCAAACCCCCCCCCCCCCCCCCCTCTCTCCTGTTGACCTCTTCTTTTTCTCTCTCTTTGACGCATTATGCAAACCACACCACGTTGTTCGATCACTTGTAGAACTTTGAATTACATACTTTTCATTAAGCTGTAACCCAATCTTTTTTTTATATAATTCTTTACCACACCCATTTGGTTCTACACAAAAAGTTATTACTACTAGTTTACAATCTTCGTCCCAAATATTTATTACCTACTTCCTTTGTTTTACAATGTAGGACTTTCTAGTATTGCCCATGTTTTCCTTTGTTTTACCATATAGGACTTTCTAGTATTGCCCATATTTATTTGGATGTTAAGGAATCTAGACATATATATGTGTTTAGATTCATTAACATCTACATATATATGAGTCTTACATGGTGAAACAGAGGGAGTAGGATGGAATTTGACACATCTTATGACAATGAATCTAGATACAACATTTTAGGAGGGAGAAAGTAGTAGATGGTGAAAACAATTTAATAATTAATATATCTCAAGTGCCTGGGCTAAAGTAAACATGTGACCATGTGTCATTCATAGTTAGGGGAACCTTAGCTTATCTTTCCTAGTACTCCCTCTGTCCCATAATATAAGGAATTTTATGTTTTTGCTTATAACGTTTGACCACTCGTTTTATTCAAAAATTTTTGAAATTATTATTTATTTTATTTGTGACTTACTTTATTATCTACATTACTTTAAGCACAATCTTTCGTTTTTTATATTTGCAAAAAAAAATTGAATAAGACGAGTGATCAAACATTGCAAGAAAAAACTCAAAATCCCTTATATTATGGGACGGAGGGAGTATATGATTGTCATCCCTTTAGTCATTTTAATTAGGGGCAATTACAAATTTACCACTACTTTAAATTATTATTGCAAAACTGACACTAGAAAATTATAAAAATACCACTGGAACTATCATTCGAGTGGCATCCTTGCAATATTAAAAAAATCGATGGCGAATTTACAAATGCAATTAATTGTCCTTGTTTTTTTATCACTATATATGTCACAGTGGTCTCCACGTTTTCTTCCATGACGGGTAGCAAGCAAGTAACTAAATGAGCCTTTTACAAGCAAGATTTTCTTCTGGAAGATACCGCAAAAAATGAAATTAGTATTCATTCATTAGTCTATCCGTGCATATATTATCCTATTGTTGGTTTGGAAAGTCAACATGTGCACTGGATTAGTGGTTACCAACTACGGAGTATTAATTCTTAAATTCCATCTTAAAAATAACTACTACTATATGTCTGTTTTTTTTGGCAAAATTTGCTACATGATACTCAAATATTGTGGCATTTGCTGTGAGATACCTAAAAATCGTGTATTTGCTTATGGACACTGTAAAAATATGGTAATTAGCTGCTGGACACTCAGGGCCGGTCCTGTGGTTTTGGGGCCCCAGGACAAAAACTTATATGGAGGCCCCTATACATAAACTAATATATATATATTTATATAGTCTTATAAATACACAACATTTAATATTCGATGTGATAGAGAAATTTACCAGATGAGATGAATTGGAGGAGTGTAGGACCTTGAAATCAAATGAATAAATGAATTGGAGGAGAGCAGTGCAAGCAGCAGGCAGCAGGGGCAGCGAGTGGTAGCGAGCAGAGAAGGCAACCGGCGGACGATCGACACGAGCGTGGCTGACTACTAGCGAGCCCCGATTTGCCGTTTCCGTTTGCGAGTCACCAAGAGCGCAGGAGCAGCGAGTGGCGTGATGTGATCGAGGTGGCGCGACGTGAGTGGCGTGATGTGATCGAGGCGAAGCGACGGGAGTAAGATGAAAATCGCTTCGGCTTCACTGAAACAGGTCTGGCGATGGACTAAAATTCATTTTCTGTATTGAGCTATTTAGCTGTCTAACTTAATATAGGCCTATAGCCCATTGACTAAAATTATTAAGTACGTAGTATATATACTTATATGTGCAATAGGGGGCCCCTAGATTTTGGGGGCCTCAGGCGGCCGCACGGCCTGACCCTCCCTAGGGCCGGCCCTGTGGACACTCGAGGCATTATTTTATTATTTTCGGTGAAAACAGAGAGAGAAAGAGTGTTGAAAGTACCAAAATTCCCTTGACACTGTTCTTCTTTCTATTTTCTTTCTTCTCTCTTTTCTTCTCTCTTTCCTGCCCCTGACACGGGTCGCGTCCTTCGCTGCAGGAGGCGTCGCGCGTGGCGGCGCCGTGCGGGAGGTGCTGCTCACGCAGTGGGAGGGGCGGGACGACCAGTTGCTGGTGTACGGTCTCCTCCCGGCAGGGGTGGACCACGGCGAGCTCATGGGCAGAGCGCGGTTCTGCCTGTGGCCGACCGGCGACGATGAGGGCGCGGCCGTGGCGAGCCGCCGCGTCGTGGAGGCCATCACGGCCGGGTGCTGCGCCGTGGACATCGCCGTCTCCTTCCTGCGCCGCCGTCGCCGGTGAGCTCCAAGGCCGAAGCCTTCTTCCCCTCGCGCCACTGCCTCTCTCTCTCTCTTCCCCAATTCCGGCCAACACCGTCCGTTGCCGCAGCACCACCTCCACGCCATCCCAGAGCCCCGTGCCGCGCCACCGGGTTCGCCTCCATCTCCTCTTGCCGACGCCGACGCTCGTCGTGGCAGCCATGCGCTGTCACTGACGAACACCACCGCGCTGCCGCCATGGCAGAGCACGGCCAGGGGGCCATGGCTGCTCTGCCTCCTCCTCCTTCTCTCACATATGGTTGCAGCCGGACCTGGTCGGCTTATACAAATGGCCCATGGGTAAAATTGTCTTTTATGAAAGTTTGTCTCACCGTTTCAGCTGGAAATAATAAAATAACGGGAGGAGTGTCCGCCAGCAAATTACCATATTTTTTCGGTGTCCAAGAGCAAATACACGATCTTCGGATGTCTCACAGCAAAGACCACAATCTTTAAGTGTTCTGTAGCAAATTTTACCTTTTTTTTTCATCATAATGGGGAGCTCACCATTAGCCAGCTAGATATAGCTGCTGTTAATTCTTGAAGGCACACAGGGATACAGGCAAGTAGATTTGTTGTAATGAGGTACTCCTTGTTTATATACTACTAGGAGTACGTATATTGATGTTGGTTGTGTAGCTGAATTGTTCAAGAAAGAAAGAGCCAGCCGCATGATGCAATATTGAATCGGTACTCGATCGGTTGCAATGCAAGATTGAGTGTAAGCCATGTGCTAACTACCAAACTAGAGTAACCTGGACAGAAGAGTACGTGACCTGCTTTGGACAGACCGATGGCATTTTTTTTTCCCTGCAGTTGAGAAAATACGGGAGACAAGCATCGATCCAACTGTACTTACTATCGAGCATGTGTCGTTTTTTTGGAGGAAAGAAAGTGAAACATACTCTAGCGATCAGCATCAAGGATATATAGGCTGTGTTCGGAGGAGGGGGTTGGGAACCCCTCCCCGCACGTAAAATGAAGTTTGTTTTATTGCATGATTAATTAAGTATTACCTATTTTTTTAAAAAAAGGATTAATATGATTTTTTTAAACAACTTTTATATAAAAAGTTCTTTTTTTATAAATCACACCGTTTAACAGTTTGAAAAGCGTGCGCGCGGATAACGAGAGATAGATAGGTTGGGAAAATGGGAGAAGAACACAGCCATAATGCTTGTCTTTTGTAAGCATGCTGTATCGATCGTAGCATCAAGTTAATTGTAAGCTTGCTTCGTTTCTTCTAAGCATTAATTTGTTTGTACTCCTCGTTCGTATTGACTTTTCTTTTTCTTTTTCGAGAATTCGTAATGACTTTTCTTGTTGCTCCATCTCTCAATTCTCAGTTTCTATGTATTTCCACGAGCAGTCGGTCCATCGCTCTCAAGCTTGTGTGGGTTTTACAGTACACACACCAGCCCACTTGCACAGTTGCAAGAGATTCAGACAAGGGCCGCCCAACCAGATAGATAAGATACACATGCATCACTCCAGGCAAATCCGCCGGCTACCCGGATATATCATCTGCTCATTTTTCACAAGGGGATAATGATAGTCTAATCTCACATCTGCAATTCCTTTTCTTTTGACTGGGATACATCCAACAACTCTGAGCACTTATTCGGTTCATAGAGTTTCCAAATCATAGGTAGAAAAAAAAATTAAGGATTAGAATGACTCATGCACTCCAATTCATAGAAATTTTTCCAAGAGGTCTCTCATAATATAAAAAAAATCTTATAGAATTAGGCTGTAAGAATAGAATCCTTAGGAATTGGATAGGTTTTATTCCTATGAAATGAATGATGGTAAAAAAAATTCCTAAGGTTTCAGTTCATACAAAAATCCTTTAAATCGAATGCGGCCTTTTCTGCACAGGCAGAGGCAGTGAGTGAGCTAGTGAGCTTTCATCATGGCGCAATCATGTCCATGAGCACAACAAAATAGTTAGGCAGGCAGCTAGCTAGTGACCCACTTGCCCACACAGCTTTGTTTGACTTTTGTGGACCGACTGATGCAAAAGGTAACCATGCAGATTAACAAACCCAATACTAAACTTTTATTATGGAAATCAAGGATCGGCGCGCTGGATAGATAACAAGCACAAAAAATGCAGTCAATTAATGGGAACAGCACTTGCTCCACGACCATTCCTTCATTATCTTCTCTCCACACCTCTCAGCAGACTGAAAGCAAAGGTCACACTGGAACTAACCAGTTCAACCACAGGGCAAACTAGGGAATCCAGTGAAGTGCTGGACAATTGACTGAACTATGATTTCACTAGTCACCACATCAATAAGAGCATCTGAGCAAGCAAGTGATTGTGCACCATGAGTTCCCAGCCCATTTTGCATTGAATCCAAAAAAAAGGTTAAATGCGCCAAAACATCAGGTGAGAGACCTAATGCTAACGCATG